ATATACTTTGGACTAATCACCCTGGTGTTTAGCATTTCTTTCTTTGGTATCTCAACCAGCCCCATCTTGGGATGGTTTGGGGCACTCACTTATATAGAAGCAATGGTCTTTGCTTTGAGAGCAACGTTAGCCTAGGGTTCCATGGGATGAAACAAGTGAGTTCTTTTCATTACATCCTATCAAGTAAAACATTATTTTGTCTCCTAAGGTTATTTTTAATTGTAAAATACATGTAACAAAATTTACCATCTTAATTTTTAAGTGTACTGTTGAGTGGTATTACGTACACTCAGTCTTGGCTTGACCACGGAAGAGAAATTCATGCACTTCCTCTTGCCTTTATTGTCCAATTTGTTTTTTCTGATTCCTTATCACATAAATTTAGATTAGAAAAGGCAACTTCCCTTTGACAGTGAGAGAAGAGTCAAGATTATAAATAGGGAACATATGAGTATATGAGCATATAGGTAACATAATGTGAGTTGGCAACTAAACTCCTGGTGTTCTAGAAATAAATGTTAGAATTTTCAGAAAATATAAGTAATATACCTGAATCATTCAGACAGTAATTTTATACCCAGGGAGAGCTATACACATAGCATAAAATCAATGTGTGCATAAAGCTTGAATGAATATTAATACTTTCTGATTCTTCATGTGTCCATAGCATTGGTAACTGATGTACAGCCTAGCTTAAAGTTCATCAATGCTTTCTCATTATTATTATTCTCAAGATAATGCCAAGACCTTTAGCCGAAAAAGTATAGCCACTGGAGATGGAGTAATCTGGGTTTCAACCCCAGGTCCTCCACATCTTATTATACAACCTTGGACAAGTTACTTTGAATTAATAAAACAGAAGGAAGCAGTATATACTTATCCAAGTTGTGAAAATTAAATGATACATGTGACTTGTTCAGCATAGTTTACTTTCTTCACTTTAGATTTTAATTTTCACTTAAGAGCTGTGACATTTTGAAAGCAAATAATGACCAAGAGGCAATATAAACAGAGAAACAGAGGACATTGTTTGAAGGAGATCTGAGAGAATGAGTCTTTGGGGAGAATAATATAGCAGTATATATTTTTTTGTGTGGTTTTTTTTTTTTTTTTTTTTTTTGGCAGTTTTTGGTTGGGGCTGGGCTTGAACCCGCCACCTCCGGCATATGGGGCCAGTGCCTTACTCCTGTGAGCCACAGGCTCCGCCCTATATATTTATTTTTATATTAAAATAGCTAATTTTATAAGACACCCCTACTATGTGCCGGGCAGTATCTTATTTGATCTCTGCCACAAACTTGCTAGTTATTCTTCCAACAAGCCTGTACATTTACAAGCTATGTGAATTCAGGCAACTTAAAATTTCCAAACTCTAGTTCCTTGAAATATAGAATGGGTAATGACATCAATTTCTTCATCAGGTTGATAAAATTATGAAATTACCTAATCATTAAAGGGCTTAGCACATTGGCTACCTCACATTAAGCAGTCTATAAATGTAGTTAAGTTACAAAAATCATCAATTAAAGTTATTACTATTACTACTACTACTACTAGCATTAACTTAAAGCTGTAGATTTTCTTTTTTCCTAGCAATCCCTGATTTTCTGGACATTTTTTTCTTGAGAAGGCCTCACTCTCTTTTGGGGGTTACAATGAAGTGGTGTCATCATAACTCACAGCAGCCTCAAAATCCTGGGCACAAGAGATCTTCCCACCTCAGTATCCTGTAGCTGGAGTTACAAAACATGACACTGTACCCTACTATTTATGTTTTTTTGTAGAGACAGGGTCTCACTATGGTCCAGGTTGTCTTGGACTTGTGGCCTCAAGTGATCCTCCCTCCTTGGTTTCCCAAAGTGCTGGGATTACAGGTATAAGCCACTTGCACACAGCCCTGAGCATTTAAAAAAAGTTAACTTTATTGAGATAAAAATTTACATACATCAAATTGGATCCATTAAAAGTGTAGCTTGATGAGTCTGACAAATAAATAGTCATGGGAACATCACCACAATCAAGATACAGATCACCCCCATGGTTCCCTGATGGTCTCTTTATATTTAAATACTCTCCCACCCCCAGCCAACCACTAATTTATCTTTATAGTTTCTAAAGTCTATCATGTTTTATTTATGTATTTCTACCATCATTCTATACCACGTAGTCCATTTAAGTGTAGTTCCATAGAAATCTTTGAAATTACGTAATATAAGTCCTTCAACTGTTTTCTTTTAAGTATTTTGCCTTGGTTAGTCTAGGTCCTTTGGATTTTCATATACATTTTTGATTAGTCTATTAATTTCCAAAGAAACACCTCTGAATCTAAAGATTAATTTTGGAAGAACTGCCATCTTAACAATAGTGAGTTTTCCCAACCTTGGACATAAAATAGTTCTCCTTTTATTATGTGGTTATTATATATCCTTAAATTTCTTTCAGCAATGTTCTTTAGTTTTCACTGTATAGATCTTGCACATTATTAAATTTTCATAAATATTTCACATTCTTGCATCATTGTACATGTAACTGTATTTCTGAATTCACTTCCCATTCACTGCTAGTACACAGACATGAAACTGAATTTTGTATATTAATCTTGTATCCTATGACCTTGCTAAATTCCCTTAATAAGATTCTAGTGGCTTATCTGTAGATATGACCTTTTTTTTTTCTTTTTTTTTGGCCGGGGCTGGGTTTGAACCCACTATCTCCAGCATATGAGGCCAGCACCCTCCCCTTTTGAGCCACAGGCACTGCCCTGTAGATATGACCTTTTTTGTAGGAAAAACAATTCTACTACTAAAGACACTGTTTTCCTGATTTTAAAAATAACATATTCTTTGAAGAGACTTTGGCAAAAATTATAAAATACACAAAAATTAAAAAGCAAACACCAATTTTCCCAATTTGTAGGTTGAATGCTATTAATCTTTTGCCAAATTTCCTTATAGTTTTCAACAATGTTCATTTGTTTTTTACAATGTGATTTTTATATGTTTGAGCTTACTGTGTATTGAAAATTATTTATCATGCTTTTTTGGTAAGGCATAACAGCATCAATGATTTTCTTGGTACCAAATATGCACTTAATTTTAATGTCTGTATAACATTCCATCACAGAGCTATGCTATAAACAACTATTATCCTCTTGTACATTTTTATTTTGCAAATTGTGCATTACAAGCAATGTTTCTATGATTATCCACAGATGTATATGACTCTAAACATTACAGATTAGGTTCTTAGGGTATTAACAGTAATATTATTAATAAATCACCCACAAAGAACTTACTATGTATGTATGCTTCATACATATCATCTTATTTAATCCACACCACCACCTTGTGAGGTAGATACTGCTACCATCATTATACAATTGAAGAAGGTGAGACACAGGTTATCTGCAATTTTGAGAGACCCAATTAAGGAGCTATTCTATTCTCATAAAGAACCACTACCATAATGGAAACCATTTCTACAGGCATCTTGCATATTTGCACGCTGTATAAGCACCAAGAGGAGCAGCAGGAAATGAGAAACCCAAGACCTAGTTCTGGATCTGACTTCACTAAAAACATGATACCTGAGCTGACTTACATGATCTCAGTTGTACTATGAGTACAAGTTAGATCCTCTCATGGATCCTGGTAGTTCTCAAGTCTTGCATTTCTAATAATCCTTTCTACACTTTTCTTCAGAGATACATCAAGATCTCTGTCCACTTGGTCACAGCAATATTCATTTATCATTCAACAATCAATCACTGAGCATCTAAAGTATAAGCTCAGTATCTACACACACACAATTTATTTAGAATAAAACAGAAAATTAAAATAGATCCTCTTTCTGAATCGTTTTAGGGTTATGGACTTACCAGAGATCTAGAAAGGATAACCTTTGTACAAATAAAACAGATCTGCATACAATATTAAAAGTTGTTTGCGGGGGCACCTGTGGCTCAAAGGAGTGGGGTGCTGGCCCCATATGCTGGAGGTGGCAGGTTCAGGCCCAGCCCTGGCGAAAAACTGCCAAAAAAAAAAAAAAAAGTTGTTTGCTGGGCAGTACCTGTGGCTAAAAGGAGTAGGGCGCCGGCCCCATATACCAGAGATGGTGGGTTCAAATCCAGCCCCAGCCAAAAACTACAAAAAAAAAAAAAAAAAAAAAAGTTCTTTGCTGACCTTCAGATATGAATTCATATATCCACTATTTGCTAATGATTTTTCTTAGAATTGGTAAGTTCTGATTTAGGAAAAAAGGAAAAATATGTATGATTGGAAGAGAAGTGAGAACTCACTGAGTTATTATAATCATACAGATTCAAATTAAATAAAATAGACAGTAGGTGGGAGAATAACAATATTGGTAATAATTACAGAGTGCTTAAATATATATCAGACACTATTTATGTTTACTCATTTAATACCACAATCCTATGAGGTATTATACTATTATTGTCTCTAATTTACAGAGGAGACTATCTATAAGTTAAGTACAGAGAGGCTAAAAAGTATGCCTAGGATTATTCAGCTAGTGAGATTGCAACCTGGGTAGTCTAGCTCAAGTCTATGTTGTTAACCATTAAGTTTTCTTTATAAAGATAGAAGACTACCTTCAGAAAGAGTGTTTTGGGGGCAATGTTGTGTTAGTCTCATGAGGACACTTGGTCTAAATATTCTCTGGATATCTGTTCCAACTAAAATAGAGGACCTGCCCCCATGTATCAAAATTTCTCTAGGTTCCAACATCCAGAGAATTACTGTGTTTTTAAATCCTCAGGAGCATTTATCACCACATCTCAAAGATTAGAACTCTGTGACCCCAAACAACTTAGAAATAATAGCAAAGTTTGCTAGCAATTGGTTTTCAACCTTCCTTGATGGTAAAATAATTAGATATCTTTTATTAATATTTAGAAATGTATTAAAATAATTAATACAGCAACACTATTAAAACACTACAGTTTTAAATAGACTATAAAACCCATTAATAATCCCACTATCTAACAAATTAATTCTGTTCATTTATCTATAAATACTTTCGATTCTTGTCCACATGCAAACATATTTAAAAATGGGTATTATATGTAAATGTATTGTTCTTTAATTTAATTACATTATAAGCATTTTCCTTGCTGTTAACCCCCATGTGGCTCATACCAGACACATAAAACATACTAAACACTACTAAGTGTCCCAGAGAAGAGGCACAACCAGGTAAACTATGATGTACTAATTCACTAGAATATCATTTTCCACCACTTTCCCTATAGTAGCATACTCATTTACCTTTTTGAAGAAAGTAAATGTTTCCTATTTATGTTTAATGTTTCCTATTAAACATAGGAAAGTAAATGTTTCCTATTAAATGTTTCCTTTTCAGATTCTAGCATTTAAGACTTGGTCAAGAATGATGATAGGACAATTACTTTTATAGGAATTTATGGAAAGACAATCTGATGTATCCATTATTGAAATAAAATTTGTGAGTTTTTTTAACCCCTCCATGATGAATTCTCCAGTATGCAATGTGATAGTAACAAAATTGAAAGCAGTTCCACATAGATTCAAACTGTACAGCTTATCTCTAGGAGTTCTCTAATCCAAAGTAAATTTATTGCTCTTTGTGATAAATTTTCCATATTCGTTTTCTCTAATATGATTTGTCTGGTATCTAATAAAGTTAGAGCTATTAACAAGTGCTGTCCCACACTGACTACATGTGAAGAACTGCTCCCCAGTGTGAGCTATCTGATGGACTATAAATGGAGAGCTCTGGCTGAAAATAATGCCACACTGATTACATTTATAGGCCTCTTCTCCAATATGAATTCTCTGATGCTTAATGAGGTCATTCTTTCGGATGAAGGCTTTCCCACACTGGCAACATTCATATGGTTTCTCTCCAGTATGTATTCTCTGATGCACAATAAGGGCAGAACTCTGGCTGAAGGATTTTCCACAATCATGACACTCATATGGTTTCTCTCCAGTGTGGGTTCTTTGATGTGAGTAAAGGTGAGAGCTCCGACTAAAGCATTTTCCACAATCTTTACACTCAAAAGGTTTCAGTCCAGTGTGAATTCTATGATGCACAACAAGGTGAGATTTCTGGCTATAAGACTTCCCACATTCATTACATTCATAGGGCCTCACTCTAACATGAGTTCTCTGATGCAGAATGAGATGTGTGCTCTGCCTAAAAGACTTCCCACATTCAGGACACTCATAAGGCTTCTCTCCAGTATGAGTTCGCTGGTGCCTAATAAGCCTGGAACTATGAACAAAAGATTTCCCACACTGATTGCATGTGTATAGTTTGTCTCCTGTATGAGTTCTCTGATGGGTAACAAGATGAGAAAACCAGCTGAAGGATTTTCCACATTCTTTACATTCATAGGGTTCCTCACCAGTATGAGTCTTCTGATGCCCAATGAGGTGAGAACTCCGGCTAAAAGATTTTCCACATTCTTTACATTCATAGGGTTTCTCTCCCGTATGAATAAGCTGGTGTCTAGTAAGATTAGAACGCCAGCTGAAGAATTTTCCACATTCCTTACATTCATAGGGTTTCTCTCTGTGTATGCCCTTTGATATACCAAGGGATGTACCATGTGTAAGAGAATTGCTATTATCAGGGCAGCTATAGGATTTATTTCCCATGTGAGTTCTTGAATATTGAATAAGGTGAATGTTCTGACAGAAGGTTTGACCACATTCATTACTGTTGTTTGCACAGCTTTCCTGATGACCACTCAGAATTAAATTATGTTTTAAACTTTTAGTATGTGAGCCACGTTTATGGAAATACTCTCTCAATACTAGCTGAGCAGGAAGAAGACAATTCCCCCCATATTTGCCACTTTCACAGACTTTCTCCTGAGGAAGTAATTTCTTTTGGGTGAATGCTACTTGCCTCAAATGTCTCTCTTGGTTTTCCTTATACTTGTCCAACTGGTCTTTACATTTCCAGACTTCTTCTAATGATAAATACCAGAGATCATTCTTTGCTATTACTTCCTTTTTAATGTCATAGGATTGCTTATCTTTAGAAATGCTCTTACTAGAAACTGATGATTTAATTTCAACTGTAGTCTCCAAATCTGAAAGAAATAAAACTTTGCACAATTAAAGAAAGTACTAAGGTAAAAATAATGGGATGAATGAAGAGACAAAGAATGTGACACATGTATAGAATTACTTTCATATATGGTTTAATAACCCTGACAAAGAATGAGAAAAGATAAGTCTACAGCAGTAAACAGTACAGGTACTGGGCTCTTCAGTACTCCAAAGGAGCAAGAAGAGTAAGCAGGAGCACAGGACTGAACATGATGCATGATCAGAGTATTCAAAGTAAGGCAGTAAAAAAATCCTACAGAAAAGAGTACACATCCACTTTCTACTCCAAATATTAACAATGTAACTTCCTAACCTGTCTGCTAATGGCCAGGCCTTCCCCTGACACATATTCTTCACATGACTATCAATCTAATATTTTGAAATCATGAATATGGCCATATGTTAGACAATGCCTTTCATCTACATCACCAGAGCACTAATGAACAATGCCCAAATGACTGAGACAGCAGAACTCTCAGAAAGCCTACATGGTGGAAGAACAGCTGCATCAAAGTTACTCAGATATAGATTCTAGTCTAAGCTTTATGCCACCACTAGTGGGGAATTTAGAAAAGTTGTTAAATTTTTAAAAACTTGTTTTACTTATCTGAAATCCAAAGATGATATTTGTTGCATAAGAAGATTATCATAAGTATTATATGAAGTATGAGTACATTGTAGTCTCAAGCACATGTACAATCAAAGCAATACTACTTATAATAATAATTATTCCCATTTCTTTTTCTTTTCTTTTTTTTTTCCTTTTTACACAGAGCCTCAAGCTGTCCCCCTGGGTAGAGTGCCATGACATCACAGCTCACAGCAACCTCCAACTCCTAGGCTCAAGTGAGTCTCCTGCCTCAGCCTCCCAAGTAGCTGGGACCACAGGCGCCTACCACAACGCCTGGCTATTTTTTGGTTGCAGCCATCATTGTTGTTTGGCAAGCCCGGGCTGGATTCAAACCCGCCACCTTAGGTGTACGTGGCCAGAGCCTTAAGACACTTGAGCCACAGGCACCAAGCCATTATTCCTATTTTCTATTTTGATTCCTTTATCCTGAGACATCAAGACTCAACAACTAAAAGGACCAATACCACAGGATACCAAGTTAAAACCTGGAACCTTACCAATACTATCTTGGACTTTCTCCCTATCTCCTATCTATGTATAACTGTAAATTATTTTCCTAGCTTAAAAGCTACATGTAGTTCTGAATGTTTTTCAGATTTGAGATAAATGTTTGCCCCTGAACATAAATACACTATTTACATAGTATCACTTCTTATATAAGTGCAGTGATACTACCCTGGGTTACCGGTTGAAGTGCGTCCCCCGAAGAAGATATGTTGAAATCCAAAGCCCTAGTATTTCAGAACGTGACCTAACTGAAAACAGGGTCACTGAAGATGTAATTAATTAAGACAGGGTAGTATCAGAGTAAATGGGCCCCTAAATCAATATGAATGACAACTTTGTTTTAAAAAGTAGAACAGGGTGGTGCCTGTGGCTCAGGAAGTAGGGCACCGGCTCCATATACCAAGGATGGCAGGTTCGAACCGGCCCCGGCCAAACTGCAACAAAAAAATAGCCAGGCATTGTGGCAAGCACCTATAGTCCCAGCTACTCGGGAGGTTGAGGCAAGAGAATTGGCTAAGCCCAAGAGCTGGAGGTTGCTGTGAATTGTGACACCACAGCACTCTACTGAGGGCGATAAACTGAGACTGTCTCTAAAAAAATAAAATAAAATAAAAATTAAAAAGTAGAACAGACAGACAGAAGAAGATAGATGGAGACCAAGACTGGAGTGATGTTTCCATAAGCCAGTGAACATCTGGGGTTATCAGAAGCTGAAAGAGGCAAGGAAAGATCCTCTCCTAAATGCTTCGTTGGCCCCATTATCACCTTCATTTTGGACATTTAGCCTCCAAAACTGTGAGACAATACACTTCTGTTGTTTTGAGCCACCCAATTTGTAGTATTTTGCTATGTTAGTCCTCTCTAATACACCTGGTAAATAATCCCTATGCCAGACAAAGTCCGTGACTTCTTTATAAAATCTCACTACCACTGGTCCTGATTTCCATTCACAACTTTGTTAGTTCCTAGTTTTTTCCCAAATTTGATGACTTTTAGTAGAAAACATACCATCCTTTCACTGCTCCCACTCACCCAGAGTGTCAAAAAATCCTGTGGAGGTTTTCAGACTACAAATGACAACGCAAAGATTCCAAGATGAAAATGTATGCAGGGAGAGGCTGAGCACTAATAGAAAACAGCATGGAGAGGAGTGTTTCAGCACAAAAATGGGGTACTTCTTTTTTTTTTTTTTTTTTTTTGAGACAGAGTCTTACTGTCGCCCTGGGTAGAGTGCTGTGACATCATAGCTCACAGCAACCTCAAACTCTGGGGCTTAAGTAATTCCCTTGCCTCAGCCTCCCAAGTATCTGGGACTACCAGCACTCACCACAACACCTAGCTATTTTTAGTAGAGACAGGGTCTCGCTCTTGCTCAGGTTAGTCTCCAATTCCTAAGCTCAGGCAATCCACCCACCTTGGCCTCCCAGAGTGCTCAGGCTGGTCTCAAACTCCTGGCCTCAAGCAATCCTCCTGCTGCAGTCTCACAAAATGCTAGGTCATACTCCTTTTGACAATAAATTTTCAATAAAACCCTAAACTGCTGGGATCTAGTCAATGAGTCTATTATTTTGGAATAGATGTCAACATAAATCCAGGAAATCCTAATGAATAGATGAACACATAAATAGAAGAAATAAAAAGAAAAGAATGAAAAGAAAATAAAAGAATCTTTCCTCCCATATTTCTAAAGCAATTAACTGATCAAGTCTTTTTTATTTAAAAAAAGTTTTTTAGGCTTGGCACCTGTAGTACAGTGGCTATGGAGCTAGCCACATGCACCAAAGCTGGCAGGTTTGAGCCCAGCCCTGGGCCAGCTAACCAACAATGACAACTGCAACAGAAAATAGCTGGGCATTGTGGCAGGTGCCTGTAGTCCCAGCTACTTGGGAGGCTGAGGCACTTAAGCCCATGAGTTTGAGGTTGCTGTGAGCTGTGACGCCACAACACTCTACCCAGGACAACATAGTGAGACTGTCTCCAAAAAAAAAAAATTTTTTTTTTAGACAGTATCTCACTCTGTCAGCCAGTCTGGAGTGCAGTGGCATCATCATATAGCTCACTGCAGCCTTGAACGACTGGGCCTAAATGATCTTCCATCCTTAGCCTTCTGAGTAGTTGGGTTATAGGCAAAGTCCACAGTACCCAGCTGATTGAGTTCTTAACAATGTACTGAAAGAACTGATTTGAGACAGGATTTTGAAACAATCAGCCACAAGTCAAATGTAAAAAAAGTTTATAATAGGCTCAGCGCCCACAGGACAGTGATTACAGCACCAGCCACATGCACCAAGGCTGGCAGGTTCGAGCTCCATCCCAGGCCAGCTAAACAACAATGACAAATGTAACCAGAAATAGCCGGGCACTGTGGCAGACACCTGTAGTCCCAGCTACTTGGGAAACTGAGGCAAGTGGATCGCTTAAGCCCAAGAGTTTGAGGTTGCTGTGAGCTGTGACGCCACGACACTCTACCCACTTTAAACTAAGTTGAAGCTCAGAAAAAGAAGAGACCTGTACTTCATGAGAAGCCATAAAAGGCTATGCAGAAAAAGAACATGAAGCTAAACATACAAGATAAGTAAGGCTCAGATAGATTTTATTTATATCACACTCAAAGCCTGAGATAGTGCGTAAGTTAGGTATCAGAGAAAGAAATAAAAAAGATGTAGGTCATTCTGATGTGGCTAGATTGTACTGAGCTTGAGAAGCCACATGTCCCTCATGAGAACACATGGTGCTCTTCAGTTGTTCTGCACAATGAGAAGTTGTAATATCTAAGATGGCTGAGGAGAAGGCAGTCAGAGAATTGAGCTTAGAAATAATGGTCAAGGAAGAGGTCAGACAAAAATGAGGGGGAAGGTGAAGAACAACTTGCTGATTTTTAACCTAGAAGGTACAGATATACACAGGGAAGGTGGGAAAAGGAATTATGCTTTGAAGCTACATGATGATTTTCATTTTAGAGGTACTAATAAAATGAAATAGGAATAAAGTCAAAGAACATTTAAACGAATACAGTTGGAAAAACAGGTGTTTTTGAGAGCAGCAATTCTAGAAAGCAAGAAGAGTGTTAAGGCAGCAGTTTTCTAACTGGCAGAGAACACACCATTAGATCAGAAGGACATGGTCAAACTCCACTGCAAAGAGTTTATGCAGAGAAGAACTGAATTATGGCAAAGGGCCACATGAAAAGAAGATGAGGAGCAAAGATGCAAGAGACAACTCTGTGGAAAGTGAGAACATGGGAATAGTGGAGTTAATGGTAATAAGTCAGGAAAGTAACATGAGCAAGGGCTGGAGCCAAGCATGTCAATAGAAAGATAAAACAAAGTAGAAGATATCTTTGTGTCTGAATGCAATGCAAGCATGACAAGAATGTATAAAGGAGACTGGCAGTGGGTAAAGTAGAGGTAGATAAACTCAATCTCCTTCTCAGAAACAAGGATCTGTAAGGAGGGTCAATGACCACTATCTCCAGAGGCACTAGCCCCACAAAGTTCATCTGGGTTACTACTTGTGATGACCTATGTCTGGTCCTCACCTGGATGGGTCTCTTGGTGAATCCCTCTCTCCACCAGCAAGGGCTCTTCCCCTTTCTCCAACTGGAGGATCACATCTGGCTTAGGAAGCTGATGTCCTGTTCACAGTGAAAGACAAGGAAGTGATTAAGTGAGTGGAGCTCCAAGGTAGACACAAAGCAACATCTCAGAGTCGACCTAAACCCCAAACCCCGTGTAAGAACTAGAAGAGGTGACAGTGTGAGGATACAGAGGCAGTAGAAATATGCATTTTTTAAAAATTCCAAGTTTTCCACAAAAGCAGGAGTATAACCCTGTTCTATATCCCAAAGAAAATAGATGCCTAAACCCCAAGCCCATGCTTTGATATTTGCTTCAAGGTCTCTGTATCTGTTGATCAATGAGGTGATCAAAATGAATGAACTAAAACCACCATAACTAGTATACCTTCAAAAACAGAGTTAGTCTTACCCAAGGAAAGGAGGTTCTTATAGTTCTCCAACATTACATCTTTGTACATGATCTGCTGAGCAGCGTCCAGCAGCTTCCACTCCTCTCTGGTGAAGTCCACAAGTACATCCTCAAAAGTCACCAGTGTCTGCAACATTAAACACATTTGCATTAGCCAAATGTATTTGTCTGCTCTCCCTTTCATGATTCCTAACAGGAAGAAAAATTCAGCTGATAGCATTGGGGTAGGCAAAGAGGACACACCAAAATTTATTCTAGGAGTGAGCAGTATTTATTTTGAGAGATTCTAGTCAAGTCTTAAAATGAATGGCTTTTAGTTACCCACTGTGTGAAAACAATTGCATATTGTGCTTTAAGATAAGAAAGTGTCAGAAGCACTTTTATTTAAATCAAGTTTGTTTGAAACAACTATAGCAGGGAGAATCAGACACCAAAAGTTAACGCAGGTTTAGAGTATATGAAATAAAGAACTTAATTCAAGGCAGAAAAAGAAGTGGGAAGAAGTACTGAGTTCAAATATATCTTCATGCATAAGAGACCATCCTGACCATCTTTTATGATCTAAAATAATTACCCCAAAATACTCTTCCTAAACACTGGGTATCAGTAAAAAGAAGAAATCAAGGAATTATATTTCAATAGTCGCAAAACAATTTGACAAAGAACTTGAGCTACAGGCGCCAAGCCAGAAACTTCATCTCTTTAAAAAAAAAAAAAAAAAAAAAAAAGGTTTTGAGCCTATGGCTCAAGTGGCTAAGGCACCAGCCACATACACCTAAGGTGGCAGGTCTGAATCCAGCCCGGGCCCACCAAACAACAATGACAGCTGCAACCAAAAAATAGCCGGGGTGTTGTGGTGGGCACCTATGGTCCCAGCTACTTGGGAGGCTGAGGCAGGAGACTCGCTTGAGCCCAGGAGTTGGAGGTTGCTGTGAGCTGTGATGCCATGGCACTCTACCCAGGGGGACAGCTTGAGACTCTGACTCAAAAAAAAATATGACAGTGGAATAATAATGTTTGTATTTAAATGCTAAAAGAACTGTCAAGCTAGAATTTCTATATCCAGTGAAAATCTTTCAGAAATGATGCAAAATAAAGACATTCTCAAATAAAATAAAACCAACAGAATTTGTTGCCAGAAGATCTACTCAAAAAACTGTGCTAAAGGATGTTCTTTGGGCAGGAGGGAAATAATACCAGAGAGAAACCTGAAATCTCGGGAATTAAGGATGAATTAACAAAAACAATAGATATCTGGATAAATATAATAGATTAGTTTTCTTTTCCTAAACTCTTCAAAAATATACAGGACAGGTGGGATATGGTGGCTCACACCTATCCCAAAAACTGGGAGGTCAAGGCAGGAGAATCATTTGAGACCAGGAGTTTGAGACAATCCTAGACAATATAGGAACTAGGCCTACTCTACTGATATATGTCTGTGCTGCATGTCTGGTCTATGAAACTAGGTTAACTTAAGGATGTGGTCAATGAAGGGAGGTGGTCAACTATGGAGGCTCTACTGTGTATGTATATATACAACTTTCATACAAAATGAAAAAATGAAAGGGACCCATATGTTATAAGGCTTCTAGATTTTACCTGAAATGATAAAAATTAACTCATAAGTACACTATAAAAGATTAGGTATTACATTCAAATCCATATAGCAACCATTGAAAAATAGAAAAATATATAACTAAAAAGCCAAGATACAAATTAAAATGAAATTATTATTCATTATTAATTGCTAATAATTAACAAATATTTAAATAATCCAAATGAAGGCAGTAAAGTGAGAAAGGGGAAAGATATATAGAAAACATATAATAAACATATTTCAAATTGTATATGGAAATAACACACTGTATCCCATGATAGAATTAATGTGCACAAATATGATCTAATAAAAAAAAATTTTTTAAAAAGAAAAAAAGAAAATTACCATATAAAAAAAAAAGATAGACTCAGCACCCGTAACACAATGGTTACAGCGCCAGCCACATACACCAAGGCTGGCAGGTTCAAACCTGGCCCAGGCTAGCTAAAAAAAAGCAATGACAACTGCAACAAAAAAAATAGCTGGGCGTTGTGGTGGGCACCTATAGTCCCAGCTACTTAGGAGGCTGAGGCAAGAGAATCAAATAAGCCCAAGAGTTGGAGGTTGCAGTGAGCCGTGACGCCACAGTACTCTACCGAGAGCGACACAGTGAGACTCTGTCAAAAAAAGTGGGGGGACAGTGCCTGTAGCTCAGTGGGTGGGGCGCTGGCCACACATACCCAGGCTGACGGGTTCAAACCCTGCCCGAACCAGCTAAAATAACAATGACAACTACAACAAAAAATAGCCAGTGTTGTGGTGGGCACCTGTAGTCCCAGCTACTTGGGAGGTTGAGGCAAGAGAATTACTTAAGCCCAAGAGTTTGAGGTTGCTGTGAGTTGTGACGCCACGGCACGCTACCCTGGGTGACAGTGAGATTGTGTCTCAAAAAAAAAAAAAAAATCAGACAACACAGACTTCAGAACAAAGAATAAAACCAGAGATAAAGGATATTACATAATAATAATAAATGGGTCAATCTGAAAAAAAACCCTAAATAGATTAAATGTAAAATACAAATCTATAAAACTTCTATAATGAAATATAGAAAAAAGTCTTTGTGATCTTGGGCTATTCAAAGGGTTCTTAGCAATAACATCAAAAATCACAATCCATAAAAGAAAAAATGACATTACTAAGAGAATGAAAAGACAAGCCACAAACTTGGAGATAACATTTGCAAATTATATTAACTAACAAAAGACTTGTATACATAAAGTAAGAAAAACAGACTTGTTGAAAACTAAGCAAAAGACTAGGAAAATACTTGTACATTTTTCATAAACTTAAACATACTCTTGCCACATGACCTAGCACTCCTTTGACACTTAAAAATGAGGCAACCCTGGGCCTGGTTGTGGATACCTTAAATTCTAGGTTGAATAATGTTTGTTTGATTTATTTAACTTCACCAGAAGTTAGTTCCCTTAGCTGTAAAATACTATCTGCCTCATAGTATTAGATACACTAGCACAGGATAGTACTATTTTATAAGGTATATAGCCCAAGTATACTTTAAATCACCATAGTAACAATACTTTTGAAACCTTTTGTGTGCTTCTCCTTCTTTGCAGGAAGTTTTGTGTTATTTATTTGTTATTTTTTAAAATATTTTTACTTAAGATGAATATAGCCGTAAAAGATGATGTTGCTTCCAGGTTGTTTCTAATTTTTTTTTTTTTTTTTTAAAGACAAAGTCTTACTCTGTGCCTGGGGAGTCCTAGGGCATGGTGACTTAGCAACCTCAAACTCTTGGGCTGAAGCAATCCCCTTGCCTCAGCCTCCTGAGTAGCTGGGACTATAAGTGCCAGCCACAAGGCCCAGCTAGTTTTTTTATTTTTAGTAGAGATGGGGGTCTCACTTTTGTTCAGGCCGGTTTCGAACTCCTGAGCTCAAGCAATCCACCCACCTCAGCCTCCCAGAGTGTTAGGATTACAGGTGTGAGCCACTGTGCCTATCCTATTTCTAAATTTTTCACTAACAAGAGTTGCTAATCTTAGATTAGACCCCAGTTCATTATAGATATAACAATTATCTCCTCTGTTATATCAAACTATTTTTCTACTTCTGTATTCATTTGAAAATTTCCATAATTTATATATGTACACATATATAATGTATATACATCTATATATCTATAATGTATATATATCTATATCATATATATAATGCATATATATATCTAGATGTGTATGTGTGTGTGTGTATATATATATATATATCTTTTTTTTTTTTTAGAGACAGAGTCTCATTTTGTTGCCCTCGGTAGAGTGCCATGGCATCACAGTTCACAGCAACCTCCAGCTCTTGGGCTGAGGCAATTCTCTTGAAATCTCAAGAGAGAAGTAGTTGGGACTACAGGCACCTGCCATAACACCCGGCTATTTTTTTGTTGCAATTTGGCCAGGGCTGGGTTCAAACCCACCACCCTCGGTATATGGGGCTGGAGCCCTACTCACTGAGCCACATGTGCTGCCCTTAATATAATTTTTGTAGTTGTTGTGGCAGATACCTATAGTTCCAGCTACTGAGGAGCCTGAGGCAAGAGGATTGCTCAAATCCAGGAGTTTGAGGTTGCTGTTAGCTATGACGCCATAGCACTCTACCCAGGGCACAGAGTGAGATTCTGAGAGATTCTGTCTGAATGAATGAATGAAAGAAATTTATTTACAGAGGGGGGTCTCTCTTTCACTAGAATGCAGTGGTGCAATCATAGTTCACTTGAACTCCAGGGCTCAAGCAATCCTTCTCCCCTGAGCCTCCTGAGTAGTAGAGACCACAGCTGCATGTCAACATGATTGGTTAATTTTTTTTCTTTTTTTTGCAGTTTTTGGCTGGGACTGGGTTTGAACCTACCACCTCTAGCTTATGGGGCTGGCGCCCCACTTCTTTGAGCCACAGGCGCCACCCCAAGACTGGTTAATTTTATATGTTTTTATAGAAATAGAGTCTCACTGTGTTGCCCAGGCTAGTCTCTACTTCCTGGCCTCAAATGATTCTCCCACCTCAGACTCCCAAAGTGCTGGGATTATAGATGTGAACCACCCCAACTATACCCAAATTGAAAATTTCCATAATAAAAGAGAGGGAAAAACCAAAGCCCACAGTGATTTTTCTTTTCATTAACTTGCATTTCAGTCAATATGGCCTAACAGCTCAGCAGCATATTAAAATTAAGTCATATTCTCATTCCTGAAAAACTATCTTCCTAACCCTGCACACACCTGGTTTATGATCTTAACTCACAGATGACTCTGGCTCAGCCTCCTTTGCAAAGTCATCAGCTCTAACAAACAGTCTTGTCAATGATTTCTTTTCATTTGTTTCACTTCTGCTCGGGCCTGTTACACTGTGTACTCTTCCATGGGAAGTCCATTAGCCCCAAGCCAATACAGCACCTGTGCTGCTCACACACTCCCTTCAGTTCTGTGTTCTGGGCTGCAAATTCTTCAAACAGGACATGTTCTCTCAAAAAATTAGGGCCTTTACTAATTTAGTTCTCCCATATTTATTCAGAAATCACAAGTCATTCTTTTTTTTTTTTTTTTTGAGACAGAGGCTCAAGCTGTCCCCCTGGGTAGAGTGCTGTGGCATCGCAGCTCACAGCAACCTCCAACGCCTGGGCTCAAGCGAGTCTCCTGCCTCCACCTCCCAAGTAGCTGGGACCACAGGCACCTGCCACAACGCCTGGCTATTTTTTGGTTGCAGCCATCATTGTTGCTTGGTGGGCCTGGGCTAGATTCGAACCTGCCACCTTAGGTGTATGTGGCTGGTGCCTTAGCCACTTGAGCCACGGGCGCCGAGCCAGAAGTCATTCTTAATGTCTTAGTGTAAAATGTCACTTCAGCATTTTATTCTGAACCTTTAAGCTATTTAACTGCTTTGTGTTAAATGCACACAATAAACACTAGCCCAGAGTATTCTGATATGGCCTCCAGACAGGCCAGGGAACCTCAGCTCCAATCTCACTTTGTGCAGACCTGCATGAAGGACCCTCCAGACGAAGAAGCTGAATAGGCACAAGAGCCAGTCTCTCATCCTTGATACTCCCAGGCCACTCTGCTCCCACAAGTTCCATCCTCTTCAGAGCTCTTTGTGCCTTGGTTATAGTTACCCTTTGATAATCACATAACTCCTGCCAACAGGGACTTGCAGAGGAGGAATTAATACAGCCAGCACCACACTCAGGACACTGAAGCACACAATAAAATCCCTAGAAAGGCATCAACATTCCCAAGTTTTCTCATCATCTTTTGGGGAAGAAATTTGATGTCAGTCACTCCCTTGACGCCCATCCACATTACAGTTAAACTTTTGTTATGGGTTAGGTTTTTTGTTTGTTTGTTTATGTTAAAGGAAACAAAACTATAACCATAAATAGACCAAACAAAATACATAGTCCTCATCTCCTGGAGAAAAATGTCTAAGATACCATTTTTGAAGTCCCAGGGCAAGGACTTTAGACCTTAAGCAAAAGAGAATTCCCAGTTGGAAAACAAAGAAAACAGCCCTGCTTACCTGGGACCAGGCAGTTAGTAACTTGGCTTCCATGCTCTCCTTGTTCTTGACCGTAACTTCTTGACAAACAGGAGAGTTCTAAGAAGGCAAAACTGAGGAAAAGAAAGAAACATAACGAAAGGCTCGGTGCCTGTAGCTCAGCACCTAGAGTGCCAGCCACATACACCAGGGTTGGTGGGTTTGTACCTGGCCCCAGCCTGCCAATCAACAATGACAACTACAACAATAACAAAAAATACCAGGGAATTGTGGTGGGCACCTATAGTTCCAGCTACTCGGGAGGCTGAGGCAAAAGAATCCCTTAAGCCCAAGAGTTTGAGGTTGCTGTGAGCTGTGATGCCGCAGCACTCTACCAAGGGCAATATAGTGAGACTCTGTCTAAAAAAATAATAACAAATTAAAAAAAAAAACATAATGAAAGTTTGCTGTGACTGCGAGGCTCCTTAAATTGTCAACCTAAACACCTTCATACCAGCTGAATATAACACAAATACCTACTATACAGAGGAACATCAGAGATATTCCATAAGAAACTCCTCAAGATAAGAAAGAAAAGAACTACATAAATTGCATTTTTACTCATTAATATCTGGGACTCCATGCTACATTTCATTTGGAGTTGAGTATTTCTACCTACTACTACAAATCCTTTTTGAAGAAAACAAAAATATAAAACCTGACCTGATCTAATTATTTTCATCTATAGGTAAGAAAATAAGTGTTTTCTCCATTTGGTTGTAGAAGAAAAGTCAGAGATTTGAAGCACAAGAAAAATCTGATGCACCATTACTGGCTTGCAGATGGAAGGTGTGATATAACTGGAATGCGGGCAATCCCAAACAGCAAAAAGCAGTACCTAGTGACAGCCAGTGAGGAAATGTGTAGCCGTGAAGAACTGAACACTGCCAACAAGAGTGAGCTTCAAACAGCGTTTTTCCCTAGAGCCTCTAGGTGAGATCTCAGTCTACCTGACACCTTGATTTTTAGCCTTTGGATACTGAGTAAAGAAACCAGCCTGTGTGTGAGTTCTGACCTACACTAACAGCCATAAAGTGAGTGCTGTTTGAAGCTGTTCAATTCATGTTAATACAGCCATAGAAAACTAACACAATTACTTTTTAAAGGTAATTTAAATATTAAGGAAAATATTACATTATTTACCCATATTGTTACCATTGCCAACACAGCTCATTCATTTCTGTAAGTCCAGATTTCCATTTGATTTCATTTCCTTTCTCCCTGAAGGATATTCTTTAACATTTCTTATAATGGGGGACATGATACATTCTTTCAGCTTTTATTTTTTTAAGAGACAGAGTCTCACTTTGTCACCCTCAGTAGAGTGCCATAGTGTCACAGCTCACAGCAACCTCCAGCTCTTGGGCTTAGGTGATTCTCTTCCCTCAGCCTCCCAAGTAGCTGGGAGTCCAGGCGCCTGCCACAACGCCTGGCTATTTTTTGTTGCAGTTTGGCAGGGGTCGGGTTTGAACCCACCACCCTCAGTATACGGGGCTGGTGCCCTACTCACTGAGCCATAGGCGCAGCCCTCTTTTAGCTTTTTTTATGTCTAACAATGTCTCAGCTGTGCCTTTGGGTTTCTTAAAATAGTGTTGTTATTATTGTTATGTACATCTGTTCATGGACACTAGAATTGTTTCCATCTTCTGGCTACTGTGAATAAGGCTGCAATACTGATGTAAGTATCAGTTTAAGTTCCTGAATTCAATTCCCTTGGGTATACACCTAGGAGTGAAAATGCTGGATCATATGGTTGTACATTTAGTGTTTTGAGGAATAGCCAAAGTGTTTTCCATAGTGGCTGAATCATTTCTACTTTACATTAGCAATGTAGGTAGGTTCCAATTATTCCCCGTGCTTGTCAAACACTTGTTCCATTTAAAAAAAATTATAGTCGTTCCAGGGCAAGTGAGGTGATCTCCCTTGTGGTTTTGATTTACATTTCCCTAATGACTAATGATGTTAAGTGTATTTTCATGTGATCACTGGCCATTTGTATATCTTCTTCACAGTAATGTCTATTTAATTCCTTTGCCCATTTTTAAAAAGTGGGCTATCTATACTATTGTTATTGAGTTATATGAAGTCTTTTTTTTTTTTTTTTTTTTTTGAGACAGTAGCCTCAAGCTGTCCCCCTGGGTAGAGTGCTGTGGCATCTCAGCTTACAGCAACCTCCAACTCCT